AGTGGCGGGGAGTGCCTGGCGGGCGTGGGCAGAGCGCGGAGCTGGCACGGCGGGGCCATCAGAAGAGCCAGGGCCAGGAAAGACGCCCACATCCACAGCTCCTGCTCTGGGTTTCTTCATTGGCGTGGGGGGGTACCCCCCCGACGGGGGTCAACCTCGCATCGTCGTCGCGCCGCGGCGGGGATCCGAGCGCCTTCGGCGAGCGGTGGCTGCCTGGGACGGGGGTCGATGCGGGGGGCTCTCGGCGGGGTTGACGCCCCCCCGACGCTCACTGAGAAACTCGGAGTAGAGCTCCTGGAGAAAAGACGGAGACAGGATGAGGACAAACCCGGGTGAGGACAAATCGGGGTAGGGCCACACCGCCAGGGAGGGACGTTCGCATCCACAGCTGCTGGTGCGAAGACGAAGCCAGGAGGACCCGTGCAGGTGCCGAGAAGTCGAGCATCTCCGAGAGCCGGCGAGTCCGGAGGACTAGCACAAAGGGGTCCCAGGACACACAAATGAATACACAAAAATGACAATCCCATATCTTCCTATATTTTCTGGGTTTTCGTCTTCCCCCCATATTCTGCAGGAGGAAACTCCAAAAACGGTCCAAAAATAGTCCGGGGACGATTTTTGGCTTGTGATTTGTTTCGATTATTCTTTGATTTTCCTTCATAATCCGCCTGTAGGGGGACATGCTCGACCGAAGCTTCGAGGCCTCCTGCGGGGGTCCGGCCTCCTGGTCCTGCGGGGGGCGCCGTGTCTGGCCGTTTTCGTCTTCCCCCCATATTTCCCCATATTCTCGGGGGAATCGACGATGAATTGTGTCTGCGTGTTTTTCCCCTCCTGAGTATCCGGCGCCGCGGCCATTCTAGAGCGCGCCCCAGAGCTCTCCGAGAGAGCGTTCATGGAACGCTTTCGGAGCGGTTTATACCCTCGTCGCGGGCCTGCCCGATGCAGCTTCTGAAGTCATGCCCTCGGTCCCTGCTCCTCCTCCTCCTCCTCCTCCCCCTTCATCCTCATCCCTAACTCACACTCCTCCCTCCTCCTCCCTCCTCCTCCTCCCCCCTCCTCCCTCCTCCTCCTCCTCCTCCTCCTCCTCCTCCTCCTCCTCCTCCTCCTCCTCCAACTCGTCCTCCTCCTCCTCCTCCTCCTCGTCCTCCTCCTCCTCCTCCTCCTCGTCGCGGCTTGGGGCCGGATCGGCGGCACTTCCCCGAGGAGCTGGGTAATGGTGGATGTGTATACTCTCCAGACCTTGGGGGGCAAGCAAATACCCACATCCACCGCTCCTTGAGAGGTCCTCGAGATCCCGGGGCACGATTCCGCGGCGGTGGACGTGGATACACTCCAGCGGTGAGCAGTAAAGGAGGAATGGAGAGTGCCTAGAAAAGAAGAAGGAAGATCTCGATGACGACGACGACGACGACGACGACGAAGGAGAAGGCGCGATGATCCCGCACCGCAGTTCTGCAGATATGAGCGCGATTGCGTGAGCTGGACCGCTTGTGAGAAGCAGCATAACGTGATCCTTGCGAAGCCGACGAACAAGAATGACGCCGCGCAAAAAGCAAGGTTGCTCTCGCCCTTGTCCCCCGGAGGGGGCATCACCTTGTACGGCGTATGGGCTGGATGGTCGCAGGCCATGCCAAGGCGACCCCAAGATTTGGTGGCGAGCGAGGGGGGGGAAGGAGAAGGAGAAGACCTTCTCAGAAGGCTCGGAAGTCCCCAGGCCTTCTGAGAAGTTGTCCAAGCCTTCCCCGAAGGCAGAAAAAACTTCTCAGAAGGCGCGAGGGCGTCTGAGAAGTCCCGCCGCCTTCTGAGGATGCCTTCTCCTTCTCACCTCCCCCCCTCGCTCGCCACCGAGAGATGTCACACGACCGGCCGAAGACAAGCTCAAGAGCCAACGGCGGCCAGCCGACCTCCACAAGACAAGCCCCGAGACCCCAAGCAGGCCCGCCACACGCCCCACGGGCGCCCCCGACAGGCCCCTCGGCGCACCCTGGGGGCCCCCGGAGGGGCCCCCTCCCAGGGCCAGCCCGCTGCGGAGGAATTACGCAGAAGGCATCCATGCACCACCACCGTGCCAGGCCAGGGCCATCCTGGGCCCTAGGATGGTGTGTACGCCCTCCTGTACACACCATCCTGGGGCCCAGGATGGCCCTGGCCTGGCAGGGTGGTGGTGCATAGATGCCTTCGTCGGAAGGCATGCTCTTCTTTGGGACGGCTCAGCTCTAGAACGTCGCCCTGACGCCCACGCGCACAAAATCTGGACCAGACCAGCCCTTCACAACCGATGATGCCCCATGAGCGCACGATCATGCTGTCACACGAAGTACACGTGCACATGTGATTCCAAGACACCTGGACGTGCTGCTGGCAAGTCATATTGCTGAGTCATGGGTCTACAACAGGAGTTGGGAAACGTGCACATGCACATACAGTACGACGTATGCGCACAAAAACACCACGTGCACTGATATGGTCGTCCTGTGCATGTTCACCGAAGCGCGGTGGTGAGTATGCGCCTCAAAGAAACTGGATCTGCCCCACGACAGCCATAACGTCTGCATGATGCTGAAGCCGATTGGCAAACATGCCAAAGCTAGTCACTGTGGCGCTCACAAAAAAAGCGGTAGTGGTGCAAGCACGAGACGCATTCATGTAGCAACGCCAAGAAAACTACCCTTATGCTCCAGCGATGTTGTATTAGCTTGTCCTGATTGAGGCTAATGTTTACGCGTAGGATTAGATTGGCGTGCATGTGACGTTGGCCATAGCGTTAGCGTCAGGCTTAGCCTGATTGTCAATATCGAGCTTGGCTTAAATCTTGACGTTGGTACAGGCTTAGGCGTAGGCCTAGGCCTGGGCCTGGGCGTCAAATCAGCCTTGGCTTGGCGCTATTTGAAAATTGCTATTAGCTGCATGTGTTGATTTGGCGTTATACCTATCAGTGGCGACCCATGGCGCGATCAACAGAAAAGAGCAGCATTCAGAACAAACCAGCTATGAATCGGGCAGGGACGTGGCAGGCGCCGAATCGGGAACGACATCATGAATGCCCCAGAAATTATCCCATGTGCTTAAATGATTATTTGGAGAGCCTGGAATAACCTGCGTGAAAAGACTACGCGTGGGAGTGGCAGGTAAAGACTAGGACGTGGCATCAGGGAGAAGAGAGAGAGAGAGACGTGGGTTCAAGGAGGCGAGAAAGAGAGAGAGAGAGAGCGAAGAAAGCCAGCGAAAAGTAACCCGCATCATGAGTGCTCATAAAGCGGCAAGGGTGTGGCAAGCGCCGAGGCGACAGCGCTGCTTGGAACGGCCCATGAGTTGCGGAGCGCGGAGGAACAACCCTATGGACTCTTCGACAGTCTGGGGAATCCTGCGCGCGAAAAAACATGTGCGGTGGTGGCGACTGAAAAGCAAGATGTGATCAGGGAAGAAACGTAGGAGGCAGGACTGGCAGGTGTCGAGGCGAGAGCGCAGTCGGAACGACCATAAGATTGCGAGAAACCTATGCTTCGACGGGCTGGGCACGAAAAGCGTTTGTGCGGCAAGGCGGGTGGAAAGCAGGGCGTGATGACGAAAGCGGCGGGAATCCTCCTCAGAATGAGTAGTTGTAGACCTACCTACGGGAGAGCAGAGACATGAGCAAGGAAAGATGGGAGAGCACAAACCACATGAGAAGTGAGGAGAGGGAGGGCAAAAACTTTTACTCGGCCAAAGCGCGACTTGCGCGACGCACGCCGAGATGCCTCCGCCAGTGAGTTTTTACAACTCTAACCCGCACAAATGGCTTCAGCGTTGTACTGGGCGTCTTCACTGCTGACAGAGATGAGAGCGGAGAGCAGGACGGGGAGAGTCGACGTGCAAAGAAGACGAAAGCGGAGAGGAAGCGACGGTTCACGCCCATGCTGCACCGTAACGTACGCCCAGACCTTCGTTATATGACGGAAGCCTGAACATCCTGGGCCTCGACCTGGGTCTCGTGAAGAAGAGGAGGACGTGGCAGGGGGGCACGGCGGGCGAGGCACCCACGTGCTGGCCGCAGAGAGGTCACTCCGTCACTCCGGTGACCCACCGAAGCCACGCCGAGCAGGCGAGCCTGCATGGAGGCTCCGCCCGCCCGCGCTCGCTCACCGCAGCGGGGAGTCGGTGTAGAGCGCCTCGGCGGCGTTCCGCGCCCGCTCCTCCCCCATCCTCCGCCCCTCTCCCTGCCACTCGGTCCACGTCGTGCCTCCCGATCCCTCGCCCCCCTCGCTGCCTCCCCCCCCTCTCCCGCCCCTCCGCGCCCTCTGCCCCCATACTGCTCCTCCGCCTCCACTGCCCACTCCTCCTGCTCCTCCTCCTCCTCCTCCTCCTCCTCCTCCTCCTCCTCCTCCTCCTCCTCCTCCTCCTCATCCTCGCCAAGTGGGCGCCGCCAGAAAGCTCTCTCCGCGAGGCGATGCTGGCAGGAAAGCCCTCGGGGCCTCCAGGAGACCGGTCGAACCGCGGGCAGAAACTTTCGAGAGAGTTATGTTGTTCCCATCGTGCTTAAGGACCACGCCCCAGAAATAAAAGCTCGAGCACCCAGAAAAGGAGAAGTATCGAGATAGTGTCGAGCGAGTATCGCCTCCCAGGGCCCGACACGTGAAGACCCTCCAGTCTCGGTACTTTTCTGGTGTTCGAAAGTATTTCTGGCGATCAAGGCTAAAGTATTTGGACGCCCGAGATGGGTACGGAAAGAATGGGGACAATGCCCAACAACAAATGTTGTCCAAAAACCAACAGCGGCCACTGTTGGGCAGGCGCCTTTCTGTCTCGAATGGTCACCGGCCGCGGCGGCATGGAGGGCGAGTCCTGTTCAAAATGAACAGGATCCGCTGTTGGGCATTGCACTCCAGAGTTCGTAATAAAAGGGAGGGGGTCTGGACCCTCCAAGACAAGCCATTTCAGACCTCCCCCGTGGGAGAACCCTCCAAAACGTCGTCCCCAGAGCCCCCAGGCCCTCCAAGATGGCCTGGAAGAGACCCCCCCCCCGAAATGAGACCCCCCTCCCTTTCTTACGAAATCTGGAGTACCCATTCTCTCCGTGCCCATTTCCTTCGTGCAGAAAGTAGGCTGGAACATCACGGCGAGAGAGGCCCAACGACGCCCGAGCCCGCTCGAGGACGCCCGGCGGAGCGGGGACCCCGGGCGGCGAGGCGGCCGAGGGCCGCGCCCAGTCGCCCCAGGCGGAGCCCGTGAGGCCGTCTTGAAAAAGCATGCCCATGATCGCCATCATCGCCTGCCGGGCGCGCCGCGCCCGCCCCTCCCCCGCCCGGCGCCTGGTGGGTAAGCGAGGGACGAGGGGGAGCTCCTCCTCCTCCTCCTCCTCCTCCTCCTCCTCCTCCTCTCCCCTCCTCCTCCTCCTCCTCCTCCTCCTCCTCTCCTCCTACCACCTCCACTCACGCCTCCTCGCGTCCTCCTCCTCGCGTCCTAAATCCGCCTCCGCCTCCTCCTCCTCCGCCTCCTCCTCCTCCTCCGCCTCCTCCTCCTCCTCCTCCTCCTCCTCCTCCTCCTCCAACGACGGAAGAAGAAGAGAGGGAGGGGAGGAAGGCAGGGGGGCACGGGGCGGGAGGAGGACGCAAGGGAGGCGAGGAGAAGGCGAGGGAGGGGGAGGGAGGAGCCAGGAGCAGGGACCGGCAGGGAGGGGGAGAAGGACAGCGGAGGCTCGCCAGTCGACCGTTGGCCAGCTCGGCGTTCAGCTTCCTCTTCTTCACCTCGGGGTCGGTGGAGGTGATGGCCTCCCGGGGGGGGGGGGGGAGGAGGGGGGGGGGGGCGCTTGGCCACCAGGGGAGAGGGGGGAGGGGGGGGAGGCGAGAGCGAGAGGGGGAGAGGCAGCGCGGCCCGTCCCCGAAGGGGGGGGGGGGGGGCAGAGCGCGCGCGCGAGAAACCCACTGCTGCAGGGGGGGGGGAGGCGAGCCGAGATGCTGCGCCCGCATCCCACCCCCCCCCTGCCTCGTGGGGTTGCGAATGCCATGACGATGGACACCCCAACAATCCGACCACTGAACTAAAAAGGTGTTCTTAAAGGTGTGTGAAGCATGTTCTTGAAGGTTTGAAGCCTGTTCTCTACATGCTTACGACACGGTCTAAGCATGCGCTGGACACATGGAGACTATTTGGCAGCATGCTTCCCCTCCGTTGACCGCCGCCCACGTGCCACAAGCATAGGGCTCTCTCTCTCTCTCGGAGCTCCCCCGGGGGGGGGGGGCCTCTCGGGGCCACGCCGGGGGGAGCGCGGTCGCCGCCGCCGCCGTCGTCGCCGCCGCCGCCGCCGCCGCCGCCGCCGTCGTCGTCGTCGCCGTCGCCGTCGTCGTCGTCGTCGTCGTCGCCGTCGTCGTCGTCGTCCTGCTGGGTCGGCGGCACCTGCCGTGAGGCCTGCACAACAGAGGACCCCAGGGGCAAGGGGGGGGGGCCAGGACAAGACGGGGGGCAAGAGCAGGGGCGGAGGGAGCGCGGGGCTAGGCCGGGGGAGGCGGCTGGGTCGAACGCCACTAGATCCGCCGCCCCCTGCGATCTACCACAGGGGGGTGCCCGGCGCGCTGAACCCCGGAGCGATTTCGATTGTGTTCATCCAGATATCTTTGGGGCGAGAAGATGGGCGGACGCCGTGCCACCACAGCTGACGCCCAACAAAGGATGCCGCCACGCACCAGACGCTAGGTTAAAAGGTATCGTTGTTTTACAATTACTTCTTGTTATAATTTTAAGGAGCCGAACTCTATACACCGACGCCATTCTCTGGCCTCACACTGAATCTCGCAGGATCCTGGTGTATACGGGATCCTGGTGTGTACATTCTTCGTTGCTTCCCCAGGAAAACGGGAAAAAAGCATACACCGCACCACCCCGACGTCGCCCCCGACCCTCAATAAGAGTCCTGGGATCGAAAAACCGCCCGCCACTGGTAATGTATATGCTCCAGGTTCCACGCCCCACAAAGGATGCCGCCACGCGCCAGACGCTAGGTTAGGAGGTATGGCTCTCTGTTACAGTTGTCACTAGTTTATGTTATGCTGATTTTGAGTCATGTATCGTTTTTTTATTGTTTTTCATGTATGTATGCTTATGCTTTATAAGTGCTTGAGGCCGGTGAATGGTGTGGGATCTTCCCAGAAAATCCCGGTGGGGTCTCGGCCCGATGCGCTGGCCACCCGGGAGGAGTGCACCCGAGCGGCTGCTCCGCCCCAGGGGGGGAGAGAAGACCTCCCGGGGCCGTCGGCCTTCCCGCTCCCGGGGCGGCTCCAGGATGGCCCCCAGGACGGCCAGGGTGGTCTCCAAGGCTAAGGGGGCCACGTGCGATCCCTGCCCCTGCCCCCCACGGTTGCAGAGGGGGAGGGTGGGGTTCGCTTCGCCCGGGAGCTCCCGAACAAAGTGAACCCCACCCTCCCCCTCAGAAATCGTGGGGGGCAGGGGTGGTAGGGTTCGCATTTGGCCCCCTAAAGACGGCTACGATGGCCCCACAGCCCAAGATGGCCCTGGGGTGTCTCCAAGTCGGGCCGAGATGCCCCCCAAAAAGGCACTGGCCTCAAGGTCGCCCAAGACGGCCCAAGAGGCCTCCAAGACTATCTCCAGGAAGGCCCGAAGAGGCCAAAATCCGACGGCCCAAGACGGCCCCAGAGGCCACCAAGATGGCCCCGAGAGCGCCCGAGAGGGCCCCAAGATTGCCAAAAGAGGGCCCCAAGACTGCCCAGGAGACCTCCAAGACGTCCAAGATGGCCTCCAAGACGGCCCTGAAGCGCCCCAAGAAGGCCCCAAGTCGACCCAAAGAGGCCCCCAAGACGGCTTTAGACGGCTTTGGACGGCCAGGAACGCTGGCAGATGGCCAAAGAGCCTCCCAAGGAACCTCCAAAGGCTCCCAAGAGGCCCAAGGAAGCCCCCAAGAGGCCTCAAAGGGGCCCCCCAGGAAGATCCCAGGAGGCCCCAAGAGTGGACCAAGAGGCCTCTTCCTCCTCCTCCTCCGCCTCCTCCGCCTCCGCCTCCTCCTCCTCCTCCTCCTCCTCCTCCTCCTCCTCCTCCTCCTCCTCCTCCTCCTCCTTTTTCCTCCATCTCCTCTTTGTCCTTCTCCCCCAAGCGTTCCCCGAAGGGTCTCCACAACTGCTGGGGGAGCACATGGTCCGGTAGCGTGGCCGAGCTGTGGCCACAGCGCTCGGCTACGTAGGCGCTTCCAAAAGGCAGGGGGCGGCGGTGATTCGCCGTGGGGCGTCTCTGATCCGCCGCCCCTGGTCGGGTCGGGCGAAAGGGGGGGATAGCAAAGGGGGGCTTTGAGAATCAGCTCACGCAGCTGATTTTCCCGGCGCCTCCCGGCGCCAGAGGCGGCTAACGTATCGAGGAATGGGCCCCTCGGCGGGGCTGAAACCAGGTGCATGCAGCAAGTGTTGTCACCCCCCCTTTCCCAATCCCCCCCTTTCGTCCGGCCCGAATACCTACCTCGGCCCGACCGTCGGCCACCGGTGCCCGTCCTCCTCCTCCTCCTTCCCAATCCCCCCCTTTCGCCCGGCCCGACCTGGGGCCTGGAGCTGCTGGCGCGCCGAGGTTCGACCGCTAGAGCACTCCCCTCCCACTGGCCCCAGACAGATCACTTCGCATGAGACACGATTACAAAAATACAGACGTTGGAGGATCTCGTTTACACCGCACTTTTTGTTGACAAACAAGCTATCGCTGCAGACATGAAGGTTGGGATGCGGAGTGAGCTCGCAAAGTCGTTGCATCTTCAAAGATGAGGCTCTCGCCTGGGACGTCCTCGAACAAAAATGTGACCTTTGTCTCAGACGGCCTAGCAGGCATCCAAGGTGGGCTGAAGACAGCCACAAAGGTACCAGGAGTGGCCCAAGACCGGTCAAAGACGATCCAGGATGGCTGGCAGGAAGCCTAAGATAGCCGAGAATGACCTACAGGACAGCTAGGATGGCCCTATCTGTCCTCCAAGACTATCCGCGGTGCCCTCCAAGACGGTCAAGATGGCCCGGAGACGACCCAAAATGGCTCCAAGACGGCCTTTGATGGCCACAAGAGGCCACGAAAAGGCCCTGCAGAGGACCCAAGGTGGCTCAGGCAGGCCCCAAAAGACCTCCTCATCCTCCTCCTCCTCCTCCTCCTCCTCATCCTCCTCATCCTCCTCCTCCTTATCCTCCCCTTTCTCCTCCTCATGCTCCCTCTCCTGCTCCTCCCTTTCTTCCCCCCGAAAGTGCTCCCACGAGACTTTACGTGATGGCGTTGGGAGCATGCAGGCTTATAGCTTGGCCAAGCGTTGAACCATCGTTGGGCCACATCGGCATGTCCAGAACGTCAGAGGGCGGCGGTGAATTACCGTGGGCGTCTCGGATACCGCAGCGCTGGCGGACGCTCAGAGCGGTCGGAGCGGCAAACCGAGCAACGGAATCGCAAAGTGTGCGCAACACGGACAAGCACAAAACGGACAGACAAAGAGGACGTCGTCACGAGTCTGCAAATACGCGCTGCGTGCGACGCGGCGTACAACAGCGCGGTCCCATCCAAGGCCGACCTACGCTGGGTAGAACAAACAAATAGCATGTATTTGAACAGCGGGTCCAAATTGAACCACTATTGCAATGGATACGAAGAGACTTAGCAGCAACACGCGGAGTGACTGCCGAGACCGCCAGCGGAAAATGACACAACACGTGCAAAAGAGGGCGGAGGAAACAGGGGGGAAGAGAGAAAAGGAGCGAAAAATAGAGGAAGGGGAGGGGAACAAAAATTGCACCTCCCAGAACAACGCTACATGGGCGTTCCCCCTCACACCCAAATCATCCGAATTAACCTGCATGGTCGTTTCACTTAGGGGTTTGATGAGCAGAGACGCTCGTACATGACCGCTCGCAACAAACAGCATCCCTCCTCGCTCGTTGTACTTTCACTGCCGATGCTGTTTGCTGTGGATTTTGGGAGCTCAGCCATTGGACACATGCTGGGTCATGCTTTGGAGTGAACCTTCGTCCCCCTGACCCTTTCATCTCAAATCATTCAAAGGAATCCTTCTGATCCAGACAACGGTCGGCGACGTTCTCTTCGACGCGACTCTCGGCACCACGGTTAAGTCGGGCATGTCCCTCTACAAGCGGATTTTGCACGGAAAATGAGAAATTATCACAAAAAAAAATATTCCAAAATGGTACAGGAGACAAACCCCAATCGGAATTATTTTAGGGCTATGGGGCTATAGTGCTATGGGGCTATAGGGCTATAGGCCGATAGGGCTATGAGGCTATGAGGTTATACTGCTATAGCACTATGGGAGATAGGGCAATAGGGCTACTGGGCTATAGGGTTATAGGGTTCTAGGGCTATACGGGGTATAGGGATATTCGGGCTATAGGGCTATAGGGCTATAGGGCTATAGGGCTATAGGGCTAAAGGCTGCAAAGCTATAAGGCTATAAAGCTATAAAGCTATAGGGCTACCCGGCACCAGGGCACCCGGGCACCTCGGGACCCGGGCACCCAGGCACCCGGGCACCCGGGCACCCCTGGGCACCAGGGCACCCGGGCACCCGGGCCAGCCACAGAAATCGGCGGCACACCTCACCGAACCATAAGATACCGGAGAAAAAACGCAATCATAGTCTTTTGAAGGGTGTAAGGCTACAGGGCTATAGGGCTATATGGGGCCACAGGGCTATATGGGCTATTGGGCTATAGGGCCATAGGGCTATAGGGCTATGGGGTTATAGGGCTATGGGGCTATAGGGCAATATGGGTTATTGGGCTATATAGGGCTATAGGGCTATAGGGCTATACATCGGCGCTCCGAAAGTTCATTCCGACGTGAGAGGCACGGCGCCGCGCGAATGCAGCGCACACGCAATGCTGGAGGGGCGCGACTACGCATGCCCCCCGGACGCGCGAGAGCAGCCGCCCCCCCCGCGCGAACCCCGATCCCGCGCGGGGCGCGTTCCCGTTGACAGTGGTTCACCCGGGACACAGTTTCCTGCGCAGGAAGTCCTGAGCGGTCTGCCCATCGGCGGCTCCTTAGGACGAGGCCCGGATCCACCGAGAAACCGTTGTTGATTGGAAGTTCTAGGCGGTGTGCCCATGCTCGGTTTCTTCGGAGCGGGCCCGAAGACCTCGAGAACGATGTCTTTGCAAGGAGCCCGATGCGGTTTGCACATTTTCGGGTCGTTCGATCCGGACCCGAATTTTCGGGGGGGCACAGATCCTATAGGATTTGGCCACCTTCAGGTCGGCCGATAAACTTTTCGGGTCGGCGCATGACCGAACCCGAAAGCTTCTTTCGAAGTCGTAGCGCATTTTCGGGTCAGTACACCGCTTGGGATTCAGACTTTTAAATTGCGAAGGGGAACCCGATCCCGCGTCCCCGGGCGGGATTAGGCTATGCCCTTGCATTGCACTGGGCCCCTCCGGCCAAACGGGGCGCTGGGCTGCCCATCCGCGCGCCGACTCTGCCCTCGCGACATCGCCACCATCCGCCCTCGGGCCCCGCGAGTCTTGTCCCGCGCGCGCCACCCCAGATGGCCGTGGCCGGCACGGTGGCGAAATTTGGGAAACTTTCGGATCAGCGCACTGGTATTTTCAAGCGAAGCCCCCCCTGCTAAAAAACAATCCAGCCTAGCCGCGCGTGGCGGCTAGGCTGGAATGAAGACGTGAAGAGGAAATCACACAATAACGCAAACACGCAAAAAGCAATTGTGTAATCGTGCAGGCGCTGGAACGCCGAGCGCATGCAGTACCAGTGGGATCTTGATGAACCACCGCAAAACACATGACCTGCACGGTCCTTGCGTTCGAATGCCCAGTGGTATTTTCAAGCGAAGCCCCCCCTGCTAAAACAACAATCCAGCCTAGCCGCGCGTGGCGGCTAGGATGGAATGAAGACGTGAAGAGGAAATCATACAATAACGCAATCACACAACAAGCAATACTGTAATCGTGCAGGCGCTGGGACGCCGAGCGCATGCAGTACCATTGGGATCTGGATGAAACCATTGCAACACACATGATCTGCACGGTGTCTGCGTTCGAATGCCCATCGGCGTTCCGAAAGTTTATTCCGATTTGAGAGGCACGGCGCCGCGCGAATGCAGCGCAAACGCAATGCTGGAAGGGCGCGACAATGCATGCCCCCTGGACGCGCGAGAGCAGCCGCGCCCCCGCGAGAACCCCGATCCCGCGCGGGGCGCGTTCCCGTTGACAATGGCTCATCGGGGACAAATTTTTGTTTGCGCAGCAAGTCCTGAGCGGTCTGCCCATCGGCGGCTCCTTAGGACGAGGCCCGGAACCACCGAGAAACCGTTTTTGATAGGAAGTTCTAGGCGGTTTGCCCATGCCTCCCTCCCTCCCTCCATCCCTCCCCTCTCTCCCTCCCTCTCCTCCTTCTCCTCCTCCTCCTCATCCTCCTCCTCCTCATCATCCTTCTCCTCCTTCTTCTCCTCCCTTCTCCTCCCTCCTCCTCCTCCTCCTCCTCCTCCTCCTCTTCTTCTTCTTATTCTTATTATTATTATTATTCTTATTAGTATTAT